AGCTTTCGCCAGTTATGGTGGCGGCGGCAGCATAGTTCGCGAAAACACGGCGCCAAGCACAGGAAAAAAAAAAAAAACGGTTCCACACAAATGATGCACGAGAAGGCGTGGTCACTCGCGTATTTTTTATTGCGATTGTGATTACACGGACACGCTCGGCAAAGCTCCTACATTGTACGAATGCTGAAATAAACAAATTTGATTTGTATGTATGTATGTATGTATGTATGTATGTATGTATGTATGTATGTATGTATGTATGTATGTATGTATGTATGTATGTATGTATGTATGTATGTATGTATGTATGTATGTATGTATGTATGTATGTATGTATGTATGTATGTATGTATGTATGTGTGTATGTATGTATGTATGTATGTATGTATGTATGTATGTATGTATGTATGTATGTATGTATGTATGTACGCATGCTTGCATACATGTATGTATGTACGCATGCATGCATGCATGCATGTATGTATGTATGTATGTATGTATGTATGTATGTATGTATGTATGTATGTATGTATGTATGTATGTATGTATGTATGTATGTATGTATGTATGTATGTATGTATGTATGTATGTATGTATGTATCGGAGTTCCAAATGGCCTCCGAAGCATAAGCCAACGACCCAACGTGGAAATTTTCGTAGATTTGGAAGCGTCCGAGTCAAACATGCAGTTACAAGTGGCGTTGCGCCCCTTCTTTTTCTGATGGCACCCTTTTAATTACTAAGCAACAACTTCCTTGTCCAAAACAAATCATGTCTCACAGAGCCAAATGATGGGCACGGTATTTGAGCTCTTACATCTTCGACAAATTTCTGCGTGTAATAGCCGTAAATTCATCACAAATGAAAAATGCATATGCGTAGTGTAATATTATTCAGTTTGTTGCGTTCACGCGAAAGTCGAGTAAAAGTTTTCACAATTTTCGTCGTGAGTGTTGGACTCACTGGCGTAACTTGTCGTATATGCGACTATATCGACACAAATTAAAAAAAATCACAATATCTACACTACCCCCCCCCCCCTCTCCGTTGTACCTCACAACGTTCTGTTATGTGAATACCAAACCGTCCCGTGCCATTTTTTTAAATATACGGTGTACCATCCTCGTAAGCAAGAGAAACACGCGTAAGCAAATGAATTTCACTTGAACAGACACTCTTTCGAATTTCTGCAGTCGATGCTCAATTGTCCAACACTCCCCTGTCCATCATTTGTCCCTGTCTTTCTTTGTCCAGGCACACGATGTTCGAACTGTGTTGCAACGCCTTCCGCGAACAGGCTTTGGTGTAACGAATGGATTTTCCCGGCTTTTCTAGCGTACTGTGCGAAACACGACCTGCGCATGACCTCCTTTCTAGCGAGAAAACAATCGATTTCACGTCATTAAAATTTACCGCTGTCACTGCGCCAGCCCCATGCGCCACAAGCGGCGCTTATGTCCGCGGACACTGATAAACCATTCCATTACTTTTTTTTATTTTATTACCGCTCCCGCATACCGAAATCGGCAAAATGGGTGTAAGTAGGCTCGCAGGTATACAGACCAACGCGCACGTACGACAAATTAATAAAACACCGTGTCTTTGTGCATATGTCGTAGACCGTTTCTTCTCTTACACGTGCACGATGCCTCTAATGGATGCCGGGTCTTATATTGAGTTTGACCGTATACGTTCGATACGTCGCGAAACACGTCTATTCGTCTGAGCTGTAGCGAGGAAGAATAGCTTCCTGCCGGGGTAAAGGCAACACGAAAACCCCCGAGAGTAAATCACGTATGCATACAGTTGTGATCGTTGCATGAGCGAGTGGGGTGATGTCCGGCGGAGTCACGCGATCATTTGGCACGCTCGATAGGTTCGCGCTAACATAGCGAAAGATTGCCGCGCGTGGAGCGCTGGCGAAAACCTGCAGCGCTCAATGTTGTCACATAGTCGTAACGTCGACGGAGAGAGCAGACTGTAGATTCAAGATGAAGCTGTTTTATTTGGCCGAACTTGTGGCCGGCAAAGGGAGGGTCAGAAGTGCCACTGATTCGTGGTTGGCGCTTATTCGCGGTTTGCGAATGTAGAACACTGCACGATTCGTGGTTTACGCTGACAGTCGCTGACAGCCTTTGCGGGCGTAAAGCGAATACAGCAAGGGCAAAAATGAGAACCGCTCATGGCAATGCCCCTCTCAGGAAAAGCATCGTCCCGATACTTAAAGTAAATGATGGCAAAAATTTATGCAACAATAAATAACAATGCAGGAAAGTACAATAACAAAAAATACAGTCCTCATGTTTGATTACGAGCATGATACGGCTTCAGACGCACGAAATTAACGACTTCAGGTCGTGCAGGGGGCTGTTGAGAGCTCGTTAAGCCATCGGGGACAACGTCACACTCGACTTGTCCGAGACGTCGAACAACTCTGTATACAGAAGTCTTTCACTGAGTCCACGTCGGCGTATCGGCGCCCATACCCAAACATGGTCACCGGGCTGGTATTCTACGAAGCTTCGTCGAAGATTTTAACAGCGGCTGTCGGTCGCCTGCTGATTCTTGATGCGCAGACGGGCGATCGTTGACGAGCTTCTTCAGCGCGCTGAAGGTATACGGTGGCATCGAGGTTTTCTTCGTCAGCGACGTTTGGAAGTATAGCGTCGACAGGGCTCCTTCCATAGGCCAACGTGTACGACGTATTCTGCATTGTTTCGTGGACGGCCGTGTTCTACGCGAAGGTCACGTACGGGAGAATAGCATCCCATGTCTTGTGCTCGACGTCGACGTACATGGCTAGCATATCGGCGATGGCCTTATTGAGACGCTCGGTGAGGCCCTTGGTCTGTAGATGGTGCATCTGTTCGGACAGTTTTTACATCTATTATAGATCAAATTTGATAGATCAAATGTTGGGATTTAAGTCAAGTGACTAGCTGTTACGTGTTTATGTCTTAAACATATCGTGACTGTAGCTGTAGGTGATGTGTGATTTTAGTCACGTCATTAAATGGATTAAATGTGCGTGGTGTCACGCGATGATAAGTCAGCTGGGTAGTCTGCATGACATTGCATAATTCTAGTCACGGGACTAGCAAAGCTTGCGTTGGGTCTAGTTGGTACATAGCACAATAAGAAGGGAACTCCTTTGACGCAAACAATACAAAAAATGAAAAAAAAAACAAAACAAAAAGAAGGTGAGGAAAGAATCAGATTGACGTGCAACCAACAACTGCTTTATTCTTGTCACAGCCTCGCATATATATGCCAAAACCACATACGTTGCATGCGCACGCACAGCTTCGTATTGTATACGTAATAACAGATAAAATTCCATGATACATCGCACCGCAACACCTGAATGTACACGCGTGTTGTGATATTTCACACGTAAACCACGATATTTCAACCAAGATGGGCACGCAAAAATTCATATTCCATGGCATGCGAAGAAACGGAGGTATCACTGATACAATCAGCTCCGCTTTTCTTAATTTTCTGAATGTGATATGCTTCCAAAGCAAGCCTTGCATCTTCATTCCTGTTTCTGCCTATAATCAGCGTATCATGAAACCTTGGCGAACAGCCAATGCAGAAGCTCAAGTGAGTAACAAGATGTGCCCCTTTGTCTACCTTGTTAGCTATTTTTGCGCATGTTTCGGTACTAGTATAAGTGACTACATAATTTATATTCACGGAACTTGTTACGCGACGTCACGTAGTTTTTGTCGCCCGACTAGACGTTACGTGATGCTACATGACTAGTTGTTGCGCGACCTTTCACGATTTTTATCCACGTAAAGCTGTATCGGACCCCTCCGCAACCAGTATTCACAAGGCAGGGGAGAATTCACGCTACAAGCGATGATTTCGGCATCGCTCCCCGGGCATCCCTACTGCCATTTGGGTTTCCGTCGTTTTGTGAATTGCTCCGCACGGACCGAAGCGGGGAGGCGGGAACGGGTGACGTATAGTACGTGATCCCCGGGGTCGAATCGCGACTTCGTCCGTCGCGTGAATACAGCTTAACAGACTCATCCGCTGTAGTTTTTGTGTACTCCACGCCGAACGAACCGGTGCACGTGTTGTGAGAAAATAGGTTCATAGGTGAACAAGAACCTTTTTGAACTATTTCTTGCTTAGCACGCATCTGCTGCAAGAAGTCTCACCCACTTTCATAGCGTTGTACGCGATCTATGGTGCAAAGTATGCAAACACTTCCTCACAAAGTTTTATCGAACACATCCTCGGCGGAGTCAGACAATAGTCGTGGCGAAAACGTTCTGTAGGCCCGTGTGCTCCGATTTGAGCGCACGTTAAAGAACCCCTGGTGGTTGAAATTTCCGGAGCCCTCCGCTACGGCGTCTCTCATGAGCCATCATCATATGGTGGTTTAGGGGCGTAAAACCCCACATATCAATCAATCAATCACCATCATGGCGAAAACGTTCTGTAGGCCCGTGTGCTCCGATTTGAGTGCACGTTAAAGAACCCCGGGTGGTCTAAATTACCGGAGCCCTCCTCTACGCATCTCTCATGAGCCATCATCATATCGTGGTTTAGGGGCGTAAAACCCCACATATGAATCAATCAATCAATCAATCAATCGATCACCATCATGGCTAAAACGTTCGCGACACGGGTGAAAACGAACTGCACGCATGCGTCGATGTTGCTGCCATCGGCGTGCGAGTACGTGCCCCCTATATTACGATACGCGGAGATCTCCCGGAGCCGATTTCTCCGGAAGCAGACGCACCGGTGTACGTCTCTCTCCCTCCACTCCCGAAATCACTCACTCCCTTGTCCACACGCTTCTTTTGCGAGTATTGCGTTCTTTGTGCCTGTGGCTCGAACGTTGTGTTTACGTTTAGTACCCATAGTAACCGCCGGCCCCTTCGGAGTGAAGGGCCGGCCCGGGCCACGTACAATGGAAACCCGTATCGACCCGAGAGGGGTCGTGGTGCCCCCTCGCCGTCCGGCCGGCCGATACGACACCCAAGATGCTGAGTTTTTTTGCATGCGGCTGCTTCGGGCGGGGGTCTCTTTATATTTTAGCATATCTTGCCACACAGGCGCCGCTTTAGCGATGCTTTCTCGCTTGACTAGCTAGTCTTCGGGGCGTTGCACGTGGTACGCGTTTGTAGCTCGCTGGTGTATCGAAGACGCCCGACGGGCGTCATTGGCTGCGCACACCTGTTCCTAGTACCTGCGCTTCTCATACTTCTTTTCTTGTTTGTGTGCATCTCTTAACGGTTGTCACTTGTTCATCGGTGTTACTGCAGCTGCCAACGCGGGAGCTGGTATCGGTCGTCTTTGATTAAGGTGAGTAATTTCAGGTATATTTAGCACCAGTAACGTATATCCAGAAGAATCACAAGGGGTGAGAGAACACACACCTTGCCGTAGCGGCCGTCTTGATCATTCAGTCAATATTCCCATCATCTTTATTTATATAAAAATTAGAACATTTTTTTTTAATTGAAAGAAAAAATATTATGATTTCCGAGCTCGCGTAAGTGCGTAGTTCTGTTGACTCCGCTAAAGCCGATCGAGCGGCAGTTGCCATTTCATGTCTCACGCAGCTGAAGCGTACTTGAACACTTGAACAGGACAAGGTAAACATGCAATAATAAAGTTGAATCCGCTAGTTTGATGCGATATACTCTCCAACAATCTAAACATGTTTGTAAGACGAATCTCGTGGGCGGACACTTGCAGAGAGTGCACGTCTACCCCTCTTCCCCCCCCCCCCCTACACACACAGCCTAGCTCCAACACAAGAGGAGCCCCCTTCACCCCCTGCCCCTCCCGTGATTTGCGTTCTATGTTTGGCGTCAAAGCTTTAATTGAGACTAAGAAGCACAACTGTTGAAGCAGGGCTTCATCCAGAATTTAGATTTAAAGTGGTGGGGGGGATAGGGAGGTAGTTACCAGAAAGCGAGGTGCTTGAATGAGTGCTTGTCGACTTATAATTTTGATGTAGCGCCTGTGGTGTGTGCTTCTGTGGATATATTTTGTGTACTTGTGCTATACGTATCACAAATATCAGCCAGCACCAACTAGCCCAAGCACAAGTGCAGGGCTTGTTGGTAAATAAATACCTGTATGGAAGGCTTCACAGTGCAGGGCCTGGAACAGCAGGCTTGTTGCTCATCGGCGTATCGAACTCTCTTGAGGACGTATAATACGAAGTAAGAGCTCGATTTTCCTTTCCTTGCCAATAATTAAGTCGGAAATAAAGGCTGAGACGTATTATGGAATCCTGGGCTCCCCTGTGCAGTCTGATTAAAGAACCCTAAAGAGAATAAAATGATAAGCACAACATGCGGTTCACATGAAGGCGTCAGAAGTGGTATAAGGCAAAAACACTTCACAGTTTAATAAGGTTTGGTTTCTTCTTTAATCACATTCGAATAGACGTCAAAGCTAACATTGATGCTCTATTAAAAGTCACATGTATTTGGAAATTTAATATTGGGGATGGTGACCGAAAATTTCAGATTTTGTGACACGAAGCCAACATATATATTGTCGTGGGTGCTCCGTTTATCGGTCTTAATACCTCATTGGCTGTGGGACGGGTATATAAACAAAACACTAAACAGTGATCACTTTAATAGAAACGTCAGATAGTACCGATCTCCTCAATAGCCTCAATTACGCCGTCATTGTCGACTGATATTTTCCCGCAGTTCAAGTTTTGCGAGTGCGCGTACGCGATTGCTTACTTAGTGGTGCATGGAGCCGTCTTTTGCAATCAATCAAAAACAAACGGCATTTATTTACCGAACGAGGGGGCACGTTCCGACATATCGCCAATCTCGCAGCATCGCGCATTTCGTATGGGGTATACATCCAGCCTATTCTCCTGTGCGCCAGAGTAGTGCAACGAGTTTGAGAGACTGGTCTATTTTATGATTTTGAGTGTTGGACTATACCTCAAAGACTGGCGTACAGCGCTTTGCTCGCGTTGTACATTCGCATGTCGCTGTCTGGTCTGTGTTGTTTTTATTGTTACGGACTCAATGTAAGTATGAGTGTTCGGGTAAGAGTCACCGAAAAACGCAGACCCCAATGAGGAAGTGGAGTGAATGACAGCTTTTCCAACAGAGAATTTTAGAACACGTCAACGCAAAGCTTCGCGTTTGCGTTGAGCATGCGTCGTACGCTGTCCCCTTGCGGGCTCCCGTGGAGTGGCGAACGCTTGTGCTCCGCCCGCAACCTTGCTGAGCGTTGCGCATGCTATTACAAAACTTCCTAATAGTGATGTAGTTACGCTGAGCCACCACAATGGTCTGACCACTGGCTGGACGGTCGCAGGATCGAATCCCAGCCGCGGCAGCCCTTTTTCTGTGAAGGCGAGAATGCTTGAGGCACGTGTCTTTAGGCTAAGGTGCAAGTTAACCCCAGATGTTTGAAACTTCCACGGCCCTCCACTGAGAAGTGTGGCAGCTTGGGCTAGTGGCTATGACATGACGATAGTTATAGCGCGAGAACAAAACGACGACACAGAGACAAGAAGGATACGAGCGCTAACTTCCAACGATAGTTATATAGCGTGAGAACAAAACGACGACACAGAGACAAGAAGGACACGAGCGCTAACTTCCAACGATAGTTATAGCGCGAGAACAAAACGACGACACAGAGACAAGAAGGACACGAAGGACACGAGCGCTAACGTCCAAGTTGGAAGTTAGCTGGAAGTTAGCGCTCGTGTCCTTCGTGTCCTTCTTGTTTCTGTGTCGTCGTTTTGTTCTCGCGCTAGAACTATCGTCATGCCTCCACTGAGACCTTCATAAATCATATCGTGGTTTTAAGGCATTAAGCTCTAACAAGTACTTACTATTATAATCAACCTTGTGGTTCATGTTAATATGCAGCAACGCGTGAAAACGTCGTCTTACGGGGGCCGCTTCTCGAGGGACTTCTTGTTCCACACGGCCGCTGCGAGACCGCAATCCATGCCTCGACCGGTGTCCGCGCAGACCCGAAACGAGAACGTCATGAAGCTCACGGCTGCCAGGCAACTGCACAACACATCGGACGCAGTGGAGAAGCTACGACTTCTCTGCCTTCAGCGGGGCTCCGCAGGGATTCTGGGTCTTGGAAAGTAAGTCGCTCTATGGTATAAACTACTTGGCATGGCTGGTTAGTATACATGGGCGTCCGGAGCATAGATTTTTCTAATATACACTAGAAAGAACTCTGGCGCTAGTGTCTATGGGAGCTGCAACGCACAGCGCTTCAGAGAGCATGGGAATGATGAGTAGTACATACGTTTGTCTAATCTTCGTACTTCTCGCCTGCTTCTGCCTTCGTGTGTGTTCGTAGGGCCCGGAGCTGTTTTCTAACGAAACAAATATCACCAAACGATCATCGGCTGCGCTTCCCCACCTTATTCTTTTAGGCTCACCATTTCGAATCGGGTCACGAAGTTCAGAAGGGTTCGTTTCTTTCCTTCGAAACAGAAACGAAAACAGCAATAAACGAAACCGCAAGTGCGATTCGCCGCCCGCACGTACGAAGACTAGGCAAATCTGTGTACTACCGATCATTCCCATGGTCGCTGAACGATTACAGCGCCGGAGTCCCCTCTAGTTAATTTTAGAAAACTCTATGGTTCAAAAGGGGTACAAGGGATGGGGGGAGACTGGCCCCCTTGTGGAATATCGGGTATTTTAGGGGCGAAGCTCCTAAAGGCATGCGTCGGTCCATGCATGTCTGTGACCGGCTCGTAACCATCATCTAGCTGTATGACTCACTCAGCAGGTAGCGCTAGTGTGAGTGACAGACAGGCAGACGGATCGACGGACACACAGACATACATAAGGATGGACGGACGGATGCACAGACGGACGAACAAAAGCACCGCTCCACTCATTATCATTCACTCCGTGGATATGCTGTGATTTTTTTCCGTGTAGTAGCCATGAGCTACACAGATTGTTTAGCACACTCATGACTCGTATATGATCGTAAAATTGTCTTCGGGATTGCTAGCCAACTGTGCACGTTCTTCGGTTATGTGACAGAAATCGGTTACCTATAGTGATTGACCCCTCTCCCTCCCTATGTTGTTTTTCGATTCATCCTCCTGAGATCCCCTCCCTATGTTGTTTTTCGATTAATCCTCCTGCGATAACTTCGGCGGATGCCCTTGTTAGTATACATACGTGGTTTTGAATCTCAACGTAGACTTGAAGCAGTCGCAGTTGGGACACAACAAGTCATAAAAAATGACAGCATATTCACGGGGGGAATGATGGAGAGTGAGACTAAGCTGGGTCCGCACGCCGCTGCCGCGCCACTTTGGCTTTTCGTGGTCGTACTGCAGGGTCCTCGTAGCGCGCTTCTGCTTCGCGCACCCGCACGTCGGAGTCCCTTTTTCAAGCGCGAGCCACCGCCACCCTGCGCGCACGCTGCTCAGCAGCCTTGTCCATCCTCCGTCGCCGAGCCTCTGAATGCGTGCGCGTGCCAGAAATGTGCCACCGAAGAACACGTGATCGTAGTCGCGCGACCGTCTCTCTCTCCTCCCGTACGTGTGAAGTCAATGCTTCTTTTCTGCAAATAACGCACTCTACTGTCGTACCATTAGCATTTTTCAGCGTATAGTACAAGTACTCCCCTCTATGGCCGGTTCGACAATTAAGGAGCGGTGATTACTCACAACGGGGACGCACAAGCCACGACATAAGGAGCTTCGCTCCTTGAGGCGCGTTTACACTAAAAAGATACGAAATCAATTTTGGTCTGCGGGGTGTCTTTAGGAGGGTCGTTTCTATTGTCGTTGGCCTATGTAAACTGCAAAGACATAAACAGTCCATCGGTGGTCTCTCGAAGACCCCGCCCGCACCTTTTCGTGCTCACAGTCTTTAGTTGACCAATTCTGTAGTCACGTTGGAGGCACACGCAGTGACACCGACTAAACTTGCCCACGATTGATATGTGGGGTTTAACGTCCCAAAACTTGCCCACCTGAACCGCATTTTCAGCCATGCTCCCTGCTCTGCCATTGTTTCTATGCGGCTACGCGGCGCAGCCCCCGCCATTATCCATCTTAACGAGGGACTGGGTTGGTGGACACAATAGGGAAGCGAAGAAAAAACTTCGGCTGTGTGTTCGAGCTGCCTATTCAGACGCCGCGGAAGTGTCGGAGAGGGCATTGTTAACTCCCCCAAGATTTCCCACTTCGTGGTCGTTTGAAATAAGGACATGCGGCAAATTTTCGCTCAGCCACCGATCTCCCGAAGACACGCCGACGACAGGTCTGCAGATGCGTTTTGCTGGCGTTTTCGGTCTCTCATCATTTTACACTACGATGAAATACTGTCTTTTGAGGCGTCTTCGTCGTCGTCGGCCCAGTGTGACCATGCAGTCTGGTGACTTCGTCGACGGGCGACTCGTCGGCCGATGGTTTGCATCTGCCTCGTGTTTTCGTCGGGGTCATGTCAGTGTCGAATCTTTCTAGTGCATAAATACTGGTATATATAGACAGTTCTGTATCTCTGTTGGGGATGCTTATCGAATCGTGCGAATCAGCAATTCGATCTCGCCCCTGAAAGGGCCTCACACTAGCTTAGGTATGGCGAATACACAAGGGCGGTGCGTAGATCGGTCGGTTGTGTCTATCGCGATTATTGCCATGATCAACTGAAGTGCACTAGAGCATGAAGGACTCCTTCTGAGATCTGCAACCTAACTTGTACCGTGTGAGCGCGTTGAATGTTAATTTAATCGCTCCATCAACTTTTCCACACTTGGCCGAGCTTCCCTCTCTTGGTGTACATTCCGTCGCTCAAACTGACCGTTCGTTATCGGTCCTTCGCACGTCGCGACGTGACCATTGGCAACGTGTGACACTCTTGAGCGGCGTGAAAACGTTGGAAATTTGAAACAGAAAGTCAGAAGCACTCGCTATTGAATACGATACACTTGGAGAGAGAGAGAGTTTATGCAACTGGTGCAGTGCTACATCACATACGCCTCTTCGAACGTCACTAACCACCCTCCGTTAATAATCTTGACAGTTCATGTGCCACAAAGTTAAATAGAGAACGAAGAGGGAGAGAGGGAGAGATAAAAAACAAAGAGGCAATGCTTGCCACTTGAACACATAGTAAGTGGTTCTTGAAGGAAAGAAAAAATGAGCTGACTTCTGCCTGCCAAATAGATGACATGGCTAGGCTCCTTGTTGGAGAGGGGGGAAGAGCATGAAAAGAATAGTAGAACGAGAAAGATAACAAAGACAAAGCCTTTTCCGGACATGAGTGTAGAAAGAAGAGAGAATAGGTAGGAAAAATGGGAGACACAGTCGAAGGAGTACTAGGACGGAACACTGATCGGCGAGAGCCACACGGCACCAGAAATTCGCGGACGGCGAGCAGATCGGTGAGACCTATCCTGGCGTCAGAGATTGTGGACGACGCAACCGTTCGGCACAGAATCTATCAAGCGAGTCCCGCTTGAACACTATGAGTGATGCTATGTGGTTAGAACGTCCACCTCCAATGCGGGTAGTATTGCGTTCGAGTGCCGTAAAGCTTCTACTGGTTTTAGGGGCGAAGCTCCTTTGGTTCGAGCCATGTCCCCTATACGTCGGCGGGACATGGTATGGATATCCATATTCATACGGATAGTAATGTAGGATAGTAATGCGGATATTCATAGGGATATCCGTATGAATATCTATACGGACTTCTCAACACCTTATGCACATTGTGATTATTAAACAACTGTATCACGTACCATGACTAGCGGGATCCGAGGCTAAGGGGAAAAAAAAAGGTGTCCGTTCTGGTAGTGAAGCTAGCCTCCTTGAGGCATGCCAACAGCACAGTTTAAAGTAAGCGAACTTGTTCAACAGCCAATAGTGAACGTATCTAATAAAATACATATTTCGGTGACACCTGTGTAGACAGCGTCTAGCAGCTTGAAATTTGCTATTAAAATTTCAGTTGGACCCTATAAATTTGCTATAAATTTCAGTTGGACCCTAGTATACGCGTAAACGCGTTTACTAAGTATTTCATTTTTTTCTTTTCCTTCTCTCTCTCATCTTTACGCTACCCACTTTCTTTTCTTCAGCATTGACCAGGCACAGGCCCGGTAGTCAATTGGGCATGTGCCTGGTTAATCTCCCGGCTTTTTACATTTTGTTTTCTTCCCCAAGAGGTTTTTTTTTTCTTTCTCAGTATGCACAGCTTTTTTATAATGAGAATTGTGTCTAGTACATATTTAAATTACCTATGCCTGTTTCAGAGTGTTCCGTCGGATGGATGACAACGGCAGCGGTGACCTGTCTCGTGAGGAGTTTATCAAAGGACTGGACGATTCCGGCATGGCGCCCTTCCTCGAAGCCGAGGACTACGACAAGCTATTCGAGATGTTCGACGCCGACAATTCGGGGACGATCAAGTTCGACGAATTCATCCGCACCATCAGAGTAAGTTGAGCACGAACGTCGAACCAAAAAAAAAACGACAACAAAAATATGGCTGATTTTATAACAAAAACTTCCATGTGGGATGCATCTGTTGCTCATGCACTACAACCACCGCGCAACCAACATGGGTCTAAAGCATTGAACACTAGCCAGCGCTAGCCAACAGTCAGGTAACGTTAAGCAAAAGTTTGCCGACTTTAGTTAATTCATGTGTTGTGCTTTCGGGGCCGCACCTCTAACGATGCTCGTAACTGTTTGCTAACTAAGTTTTTTTTTCAAATTATTTTGTCTTAATATTATTTCATCTAACCTTGTAAACACAAGCAGTACAGAAGGTCAGGGTAAGATGGAAGCTTAGAGTGATGAGAGGTCGTTGGACAGGACAGGTTGCTGCAGCCAATGTTTTGGCGAGTGGCATGCCACGTCGACGCCGCAACTCGACGAAGGTAACGTGGTGACTTGATGAACGGGGTATTCGTCTTCGCCAAGGCAGCAGTTTGACAAAGACATATGCCCTAGTCAAAACCTTGTCTCCAGCAGCATTCCCTGTTTAACCATTCTTTTAGGATTTAAGCACATGTGTTTATTGTCATCTACTTTATTCGACAGTGGTTTTGCCTTTAATTTTGTGTCTTGGAAATTGTATTGTTTAGGCGAACCACAAAAGTGCTTCTGAATTTCCTGTTTACATTCCATGAAACTGTTCTAGTTATGATAACAACGTCAAAGTAATCTAATGTTCGCGGTAAATTCAGTCTCCTGCGGTCTTGCTGTCAAAGAGTCCAAGAGTGAATTCTACTTTCCGGTAACTTCTACATCTTTCTCTGTCCTTGCTGTTTTCTTTTACGACGCCGTACCGTGATTAATCCCTAATGGTAGAAGAAACACGTTTCTATCCTAATCTCAAACGACTATCAGACAGTACGACATCGAAGCAGTACGGAATAGTACATACGCCGTAGCACTCCATTCTTATCATGTGTTCCGCCGTTTTTTCATCATATCAGCCCAAGATGAGTCCCAGCCGAGAGGCGTTGGTGACCAAGGCATTCCAGAAGCTTGACCGATCGGGTGACGGTCAGGTGACCTTCGACGACCTAAAAAGCGTGTACAACGTGCGGAACCACCCCGATTACCTGAATGGACAGAAGACAGAGCGAGAACTGTTGAACAAGTTCTTGGCCACTTTTGAGGAAGGCGGTGTCGTCGACGGTGTTGTGAGTACTTTTTCTGACCTGCTCATTAGTTGTTCTCAAATGTGGTGTTGGTTTTTTTTTTGGAAGAAATAACAAAAATATCACAGTTTCACCGCAAGGGTGGAGCAATGAATGCGATAGCAACAAGTTGCAGTATTATGCGACGTAAAGCTAACAGCTAAGTCTTTATATGCGACCCCAAGTGGCTGTACAAAACGTTTCTTTAAAATAATATTGCCAAACCAGGGAGAGCTCTTCTCGTGCAGTCTCTTCGCGTTGAGAGCAGACGGGCACACGAGTCGCCTGCTGGTACCTGCCGAGATAGCACGCGCGCCATCGATGGTGACCACGCCCTCAAAATAAATGTTCACAGTTGCTGCTAGAGTGACACATCCCCTTTTCCCCCGTGATGTCTCTTCATGCTTTTTCAAGACAGATGGGGCGTTTCCTCTCTGCATGAGCTACAATCGGCGGCAGGCCTCGCAAGAAGGTGATTCTATTGCATGTGGCCTCTGTGCGACGGCAGTGGGCCGGCTCGTTTCAGCTGTGCTTGAGCGCATGAGCCCTACTTGCGTGCTCATACTCGTGGGTGAAACATACAATGCGCAGGGAGTTGCCAATAGTTTGAACTATAGACAGAGCACGATAGCGAGCGATGGCAAAAACGCACCGACAGCGTGCAGGTAAGATCTGTCGCAATAAAAACATTGGCGTGAGCTATCAGGAGCGGACGTCTGCTGGCACTAGCTCTTTGCAGTCTAACGCCAAAATTAACTTGATCAGCCGCTGACCTGAAAATTTTGCGTTTGATACCGGCTGCTGTGGTCGCACTCCGACGGAAACGAAATGGTAGAGGTGCGTCTACTGTGCACCAGATGTTCAATATATCCGGAGCCCTTCTCTACGGCGTGAATCATAATCATAACGTCTTTCAGGGGCGAAGCACCTTGTTGTCGAGCCTTGATCTTTTGTGGTGTTCATCGCGGGAAGATTCGTGGATGTGAGACACGAAAAAAAGAAAACCTTTAACAATTTACTAATACCAATCATAATTGTGACGGAATACTGTCAAACATCTACAAGAACTAACCCTACATAGCAGTCGGTGACTTCAACGAAGACGTTATGGACATTAAGACCGAGCTTCGCCCACTCGTGGTCATTCATTTTTTGGCATGTAATACTCTCCCAAAAACTTGCAGGACGCTGGAGCTTGGCCTCAAAAGTAGAATGCAATGGCGCAATCGAGACTCGCACGCATCGCCTTCTGAACAGGGGGGTGGGGAGTGTTTATGTTGATAAGAGGGAAAAGAAAAGGAAAGTGAGCCCCGTAACTGTCTGCATCAGGGTGCGACACCTCAACAGTATCTCACAAGGGATGGTGGTGAGGAGGGATTAAAAGGATAGCATTAAAGGTATAGAGAAAGAGAGAAAGATGCGTTGGGACAGCGAGCAAGGACATATCGAGAGATAGGACAGGTAGGAAAGATGGAAACACGATCACAGGAGCCGAGGACGGGGCACCACTTGCGAGAGCTCTTGTCGGCGTCAGGAGATGGCGTAGGGCAAGTCCAGTAGGTCAGAGCTACGCTGTCGTCGGAGATCGGCGTCAGGAGATGACGTAGGGCCAGCCCAGTCGGCCAGAACTACTAGTCTGCTTCAGTTCTCGGTGCATGCTTCGACCGTGCATCAAAAAAAAAAAAAACGAACGACTGTGCGAGTAACGTGGACTGTTTCAAACTATCCTAGGATGCCTACTCACAGTATACACAGTTGCAAAGCGCCCGCTCTACGCCATAACTCTTCCTTTGGGAATCAACGAAGTACACCCACTATATACAAGTCCGTAAGACAACACGCGTATCAGCGCAGCTGCTCACTTTGCTGGGGATTTTTCTGTTGTTGACGATCAATAAAGCTGTGTGGGTGTTTCGTACTTGACACACATTTAAACCACATTCTCTTTGGGCAATTCACATGATTTAATATATATCTGGGATTTTATGTCTCAAGACTACTGAGAGACGCTGTAGTGGATGGCTTCAGATATTTCGACCATCTGGTGTCACATCGCACAGCTTAAGCGCTTCACCGTTTCAACACCACCAAAATGTGACAGCCCTTGTCAGTATCGAACCTGTGCCCTTCGGGTTGGCAGCCGATCTCCGTAACCACTCATTTACCATGACGGACTAAATCAGACTGTTGGACGCCCTGCCCGGTGAAGTGGTCTGCGTCCGCCACGCAATAACAAATGCGAGGAGGCTCATCGCACAATGCACGACATTTGCATAGCGTTGTTTGAAACGGAACAGTGTCAAGGTACGGTATCCTCGCGATAGCGTTTCATACAAATGACACTACAGCTAAAAACATATATGAGCCACAGCTTCAGCCGGCCTGGTATCCAGTGTTCACAAAACGTGGTGCTATGGTACCCTTTTAGAAAACAGTGTCATCTGAAGCTTCCCTTTTTTTTTTGTAAAACTTTTTGTACATTTTTAGAAGCCACCTCGAGTATTCTATGTACGTGACGTACGTTTTTAATGAATACCGCGGAGGAATAAAAAAAATGACACGGCTCCGTTGTGGAACACATCCCTGCCACGCAAGAGGCCTGGGTTGAATTCCTACTCGTATCGAAGATTTTTGTTATTTGTTAATTCGCACCGATCTGACGTTTTTTTGCTCACGAACGACGTCGATTTTCCGCTCACAGCCACCGATACCCACGGCGGGGTGTCTGCGAAACCGGCTCTTTCAGGATGGAAACCGCGTCAATAATTGTGTCCTAAACAGCGCTCTAAGGAACGCCTGTTCTTGAACCCCTTTGGTGCAGATACATTTCGTTCGAAACGTGTAAGTATCACCTCGATGCTTGCGAGTGCTTTCGCGTTTATATATGCCATTAACACGCCGCCCAATCTGAAAACTGGCTCCACTATATATAAGTACACCGTCGCGACACTTTGAACATTCGATCGTGCGGTCTGGAAAATTTAGATACGAGCCGAACGCACTTTCTGCGGGCGCTGAATGGCCCGTTTTTGGAGGACGCATACGGCGACGTGACCAGCGCTGTTTCGCGCTTTTCGACTATTAAAGGGTCGACGACACCGGAGTCAGCCTGCTTATCGAAACGTTTCACTTGTTCTCCTCGATTGGGTAGAGGAATAATGGTTGAACGAAATTCACGCGTGAGAGCATCGAAAAACAAAACAAAATTGAGCCTTTCCCATGTCGTGAAAATCGGGACTATAGTGAAGCTATAGGTTTGAGATTTAGCCGTGTCTGTTATAGCGCCACTCTAGATGGTATTGCGCAATGTACTTTAGACGCCCCTCCACGGTCCATCTATAGTCCAGTGACTAAGGCACTCGCCTGCTGACCCGCACGTCGCGGGATCGAATCCCGGCTGCGGCTACTGCAATTTTCATGGAGGCGAGAATGATGTAGGCCCCATGGAAACCCCATGTGGTCGAAAGTTCCGGAGCCCGCCACTACGGCGTCTCTCATAATCATATGGTGGTTTTGAGACATTACACCCCACATATCAATCAATCAATCAATCAATCGATCGATCGATCGATCGATCAATCAATCAATCAATCAATCAATGCACCTTAGACATATGGACGCCACAATATTGGACTGTTTAGCCGATGTTTACTCTTTTTTTTGTAGCGTAAGCCTCGTTTGCGTATATACACCCATGAATTTTATGATCACTAGCTGGAACCTCTTTTATCTGCCCCCGAACTATGCCGCCGCCACCTAAATATTTAAGTCACACGAACTTCGCTTAAAATAGGAGTGATATAGGTTCGCGGGGGCATAGCGATAATGCAATCTGGACCACTGGGAACGAAGTGAAAAGAAATTGTTGACATTTCAGAGGTCAGATTAGACAAGAAATCCTTACACTGTAAGTGTAGCCTGAGTTTTTGATGCTTGAGTCATCGGCGATGCCCTCGTGGGCTATTAGTGTATTACTTCTCCGCAAACGGAGGTAGACTGCGTTGACAAAAACAAATTCACGTAAAGTAGCCGCCGGCATTTGCGAGAAGTACCCTTGAGAGGACGTGTAAACTAACTGTGGTCCGTGACCAAGACCATCATTCCTATTTTATTTATTTCATTGCCGAGATAAAACGTGTGTCCTCCGTCTCTAATTACTTTTACCCGGTGTCAACACAAACCATCAAAACGTATACATGAACTAGCTTGTTTAACTATAGACTTAATCTATATACCCAATATATAACTATAGGCCTATTCCATGTTTCTAAATAGCGGTAGGCGTCGTCGCCATAATGAGGTGCTTGTAGCAACGCCATGGTGGTCTAAATTTCCGGAGCCCTCCACTACGGCGTCTCTCATAATCATATAGTGGTTTTGGGACGTTAAACCCCACATATCAATCAATCAACGCCATGGTGCGCGGACTCCGCTCTGGTCCAAAGCTAGCCACCACCCTCAATGATCACGTGACAACCGGCACAGCAACTACAAGCTTCCTCCGAGCACAGCGCACTTCGACGTTGTCTGTAGTTGAACTCGCACTTGTGTTAGAGTTTGTGTTACATCTAGCTGCATGACCCAAGTGTATACGCCTTCCTACTATGGTCGCTTTACGAGGGGAAGTATATTCAAATACGCAATATAAATAATTCAATTAAACCTCGCAAATACATATGGTTTTCGATTGCAGTAGTGTAAGGCGTGAAAGTACAGGTTCACGGGCATATATCCATGCAGGGAGGGGGTGGAGTGAACCCTCCACCCAGACATTTCCAATTTTGCTTGCGTAAATGTACAAGCGCACATGCAAACTCACGCACGAACATACATAAACTACAGTTGAAACCTCCCCTCCTCTGCCTCCCCCCTCCCCGCAATAAAAAAAAAAGTCAGGGCTGCGCGGAAGGCCAAGCACAGTCGCGGCGAAAGCTAGAAGAGCGGCCTCTCAGATGATGAAGATGATGACAATTCCCGGAAGAATGGCACTACTCACCACGGGAGATCGGCCACCAGGCGTGCGGCAGTAGAATTCGTGAAACAAATTTGAATACAATACAATAAGAGCCTTTATACCACTGTATAACTGTTGCAGGCACACTTGCGTGATACCCACTATACGACTTTAATATTAATAAAAAAATTGTGTAGTAGGCTGGCATTCGCTGCCAGGCCTGCTGCAAGTACACTTGCTTGATACCCACTACGGCATAAATAATAAAAAAAATTTGTGTAGTAGGCTGGTATTTGCTATGCTATTTCTCGTTATTCGTCTAGGAATCGTGGTATCAGTTAAACACTTGCAAGAAATTTTGTGCCAATTGTTCATAGTCATGAATTGGCTGACGACGATGAGGAATTGTGCCTGTAACGGGTATGCGCCACAGTTAATATGTGAACAAGAACAAGCTTTTGTAATGGGTTGGAACATCGGACGACCCACTCGTCGCGCTATTCGCATTGTGCAACGACTGGTTCTTCTTTCGCTGTTTTGAAACGATTTATTAGTCGTAATAGCGCGATTGCTTTCCCGACACCAAGCCTGTCTAAAGAAATTTTGCCAGGAAGTACAAGTCACCGACGTGGTTTAGTATTACTATAACACATCACGTTCTAGATGTGTTATAATAATACATTTTCAAGTTTCTTGTATTGTTCGTTGTGAATTGTAATATATTTAGCGTAGCAACTCGTTTGTGAAGTTTACCGGAAATAAAGGGGAAAAAAAGAAAAAAAAACCGACGTGGTTTAGGGGTAGAATACTGGGCTGGCACCAAGCGGACTCGGGTTCGAGCCCCACTGTGTTAGTGATACTAGTTTTTTTTTTCAAATTTCGTGAGTTGTAGTTACGGACACCGGCGGCGCACAACTTCAGCAGCGCGCGACCCGAGTTTTATTCACATAACAGGTTTTGCTGTAAAAATTCTGGCTACACCCCTGCAAAGGTACAAGGGATTAAGAGCAGCAGATGAAAGGGACACCAGTTCTGTTTCTTTGAACCTACGCCGTTTAATTTATTGTACGATGAATCCCTATAAACTATATCAAACAATTTTTTTCGCTCTCATACAGTTTCAGGGCAAGATAAAACGGAATCACGAGTAATCAAGACGTCTTTGCATTTTGATGGGTTTCTTCAGCTCGAAAGGAAGCCCCTTAACTATCTTGGTTATATAGCTTAAGATGACGTCATTTTTGTTCATATACTTGATATGCCGTCAGCCGGCTTATGAAAGGATTCGAAGGTATTCATAAGCACGCGTGTGTATAACGTGGAGTTGCAGTGTTTAATGCTTTTTGTAAACGTCGTCTTTGGCATCTCTTTGCCATGTGTATACTTGCAGCAAATGTTCATCATTAGCACAAACGACGAGAGAGAATGGTGTGCTTTAGAAGTTGCTGCAGTATTTATGCGATAATGAATTATACGACATGGTTTTGTTAATGTAAACGAAGATAGTCTAAGCAGCTTCCGTGATACCAATGACTGTCCAACGATTGTCAGCTGAAAGAAAAAGGGGTATATGGCTTTACAAAGTGTTCCGGAAACGACGCAAGGTTGAATGAACATGGACACATTGGCATTCACATGTGCTATTAAGCTTCTCAGCGTATTATAAATATATCTGCTGGTGTCTCTACAAAGTGAGGCCACACCACATTATTATTATTATTATTATTATTATTATTATTATTATTATTATTATTATTATTATTATTATTATTATTATTATTATTATTATTATTATTATTATTATTATTTGCACGTCAAAGAACCCCACGTGTTCGAAATTTCCGGAGCCGTCCGCAACAGCTTCTTTGTGGTAATGATGCAGTGTGTACTCAATGAACGTCGTTCCATGTGGGACGGGTTATTAAACACCCAATTTGAGTATTAAATAAGCCAACGTAAGGATTTGGCAGGTCATTATTTAGGATCGGAAGTTCGTTTAGTGTTTTTGTTGACGTTTACATACTGCGAACTGCATGACAATGCATGATATGCGATAACACTTAATGGTTGTCGACACATGAACTGAACGTTTTAATTTTCAAATGCTGTTACTTTCAGGTGACCAAGGAGGAATTCTTCGACTACTACTCAGGTGTGAGTGCCTCCATCGATGAAGACGCCTATTTCGACCTGATGATGAGAACCTGTTGGAAGCTATAGCCTCGACTGGGATAGACACACCCACTGCACGTTCCGTGTGCTCTATGCCCCCTCCTCCCCTACACCCCCGAGTTTCCCTTTTTTTTCCCCCGTCAACGACTCCGAACTTTTCCCTCGAGATGACTACATTTGTCTTGGCACAGATATATAAAAAAAAACGTTTTGATGTGTCGCAAGGGCCAAAGGATTAAGAAGGATTAAAAACAAACACTAATTCTACAGCATGGCGTCGCTGGCCTGGCTAAATGTTCGGCGCTGTGCTTAGACAACTACGTGATTTTTAAGAGATAAATTAAGCAATACAGCGCTGTCTCCAAAAAGTGGTTCATCGCGTCGCAGTGACCTTGAACAGCTAGAGCGCAAGTACGGCGCGCATGGCGTCACGTCACGTGATCCTCTGTGGAGAGGCGGCGCAGCGGTGCTCGCTCGGGGCCCCGCCACAGTGACACCACCGGACCAGGCGAGTGTTTAAAACGCTGTGTGAACAAGCCTTTGCAAAACTAATCCTGGCATCTCTTACTCGTGGTAACTGGGTTTATGAGGATTTAACCTCAGCCAGTTCCCTACACTCTCCATCAAGCCTGTTCTTCAAGATTAAGGTCGTAATGACGCCCTGCGTACACAGTCAAGGTCGTGCACTGACGGCATAAACGATCAGCACAAATCCCTGGGTTTGAACCTGAATTGCGGCCACATTTTCGATGGCGGATAAAAGCTAAAAGAAAACAAAACACAACACATCGCTGGTGCGCTGAAATGGGAGTCTTTGTTAAAGGGACACTATAGGGAAGCAACACAAGAGTTCGAAATGGAATATTGTGCTATGAGACGTGTAACGGCGACAATAACGCCACCATAGGCTTAACAATAGCGCAGGGAATGAAACTGGAAACTTGATTTTTGAACTTCACGGCAAAATTTTCCCACATAAGGTCTTGTATATCGAAGTGCATTTTTCGTATTTTGGCGACATTGGCTCGACAAAATGTTTAATGATTAGGTGTATTAACTATATGGCCGCCTCAGACAACAACCTAGTAGGACAGAGTAGACGCAGTCTAAATCAATGACGTCGTGACGTTTGGTAGCGGGAATTAGAAGGTGGCGTTGGCACCCGCATTTTTTAAAGGCGATAGTCTTTCTTAGAGACCTTCGACGCATAAATTTTGGTCTGTGTCCTTGTCTGTAGATTCGTATGTTTGTCCACAATTAACGGCACCGGGTATTTGAAACGACCAACCCCATGCGCAGCGCCCACCAATATTGCTCAAGATTTAGCGTTCATACTTGTGCAAATATCAATTAATAAGCAATTATTGCGCAAGTATGGGGCACCATATAAAGCACATATATATTCTGCATGTGGATCTTTTACTAGAAAATGCATACATAAGTAATTTTAAGGACCGTAGCGCTTATCAGGCTGCGCTGACCATGCAACGCTTGCACGAAAAGGTGAGTGTTTCCAACGCTTTGCTAAGACGCGATGGTGATGGCACCTACCCGTCGCCTTGCGTTCCTCACCTTATCACCTCTGAGACGGGCGCACACACCCGTCTCAGTCACGCGCTTCGTTTTCCAAGAAAACTGCCAGATGGCGCTCATGTCTCACGTGTGACGTGACTTGATGCGCTCGTTCGCCTCCGCTGCACGCTCGAGGCACTTTAACGCAGCGCCTCCAAAATACCATTAAGCGATTTTCTTGCGCAAAACATCAAATTAATTCTTTCCTCTCTCCACACGCAAGACTATCGTCTTTCGACACATATGCAGATTGCATGCAGATACGGGGCCAATTTTTCACGTGTTTTTTTTCGTTTAGGAAGCCTCTTCTCCCTGAAAACGGAGTGATTTTGGTACTGTGAAACAGTAGTTTACAGATATAAAAAAATCGTTTTTTTCTCTCTCTTTCTCTTTAGCGTTCCTTTAAGTCGACGTGAATTGTTGAAAAAGTGATTCAGAAACCCCGCGGGGCTTGCTTTGCACCAAAGAAATGCTTAGTTGCGAAAAAGATAACGTTTCAGCACTTCAAACCGCCCGCCTTAGAAAAGGGTTCGTGACGCGTAGCTCTTCAGACGCAGAGGGGGCCACGGTGTGCGGACGCGCGTCGCATCGGCTCCGCAGATTTTCTATGGTTTTTCGGCGATTTCTGGTTGTTTGAAGTGCATCGGATTCGTGAAAGTACAGCGAACAGTGAACGTCGAATTTCAGCGGTGAGTGGCTGTTTTTCGGTTTTCTGCAAGCTGAAAACTTCGAGGCAGCGACCGTCGCGCCCGGCCAGACGCACCGCTGCATAGCGGCGTCTGCGTCGTGGTCGCGTCTCAAGCGTCGGCGGATGGACGCTCTTCAGGAAACACCGAGGTCTCCTCAGGAGCAGCCACTGGTTCACACAGATGAGGAGTCTGCTACAGAAACCACTCAAATGGACGTTCAGACCTGGTTACCGCAGGGTTCGTCCGAAGAAGTCGACAATGTGTCTGCAGGGGAACGCCACGATGGTGCCGCATGGACGGAGGATGGCTGGCACACGGTTTTGACACGCCGACAAAAGAAGAACCAGAAGAAAAACCAGAAAAACGCGTCAGAAGCTGTGGAGTGCAACGCCTCGTCAAGCAGCCCACCGAAGCAGGGAAGTCAGGTGAAGCGCCGACGTCGTACGAGAAGTCGCCGTCCGCTCCCGCCCCTGCCAAAGGACGACATAAAGATCATCCTTAGGCCTCACAAAGGCCTCGCCGTAAAAGACATACTCGGCTATGAACTTTCCACCGCTGTGATAGACGCTTGCCACCGACACTTCGACGGTGGTAGCTTCATGCTGCGCGTCCACCCGGGCTCGAATATTATCATCGTATCGACGCCCCACGAGCATGTAGCCAAAGAGCTGCGAGAGATCACGCATCTGAATATAAGGGGACGAGTGCACTCATTCAACTCGTATGTGGCGGATCCTGAGGACGTCCTACGAGGCATAGTCCATGGTATTCCGTCGGGGACTTCTCAAGCAGAACTCATGGCGAATCTCCGTGTGAGAACACAGGGGGTCAAGATTGAGCGGGCACGCATGCTCGGATCTACGAAGACCGCCATCATTACCTTCACGGGCAGCACACTGCCTAGGTGCGTCTATTTCATGGGAGCGGAAGCCATCTGTTATCCCCACAAGCCTACGAGGCAGGCTTGCAAGGTATGCCACTCCACAGGGCATCGAACTGACGTGTGCCCAACGCCCGACGCCAATGTATGCTCCACGTGTGGAACACGTGAACCCGCACAAGGACACGCGTGTACCCCTAAGTGCGTGATATGTGGTGAGGACCATATGACAGGTGACAAAATGTGCAAGAAGAAGCTTAAACACGTTCCGCCTAGGAGGTCCCGAGTGGATCAGCCAAAACGGAGGCACCATCCACGCTGGTTCAGCTCCGAGCGGGACTCGTCAGTGGAATCACGCTCACGTTCAAGATCCAAGTCACGGGCTTCCTCAAAGGGTCGAGCCCAGTCTGCGTCCAGAAAACGACTCAACAAACAGCCGCATCAGCAGCAGCACCAACAGCAGCAACAGCAGCAGCAACAACAACAGCAGCAGCAGCAGCAACAGCAGCAACAGCAACAGCAACAGCAGCAGCAGCAACAGCAGCAGCATCAGCAGCAGAAGAAGAAAGCGCTGGTACAAATCTTGACGCCGCCCAAAGAGGGGACGGAGGCAGCCGCCTGCCAGCCAGCAAACACGGTGAGCTGGACGAGGATTGTGTCTCCATCTGCTCCCTTAATTGAGAATCCCGAATATCAGAAAATGGTTGCCGAGAATAAGCAGCTTGCTTTAGAAAACGAGAAACTTCGATGCCAGATTAAGGAGGAACGCCGGGAGTTCCACAAAATCATATCATCTTTAGAAACCAAACTTGAAGCCAGGCTTAACGCCTTAGAGGCGAACAACAACGCCACTCATGCTATCTCCAGGGCAACCGTAGCCCACTCTTTGGAGGGAGGAACGGCGAAAGTAGACATACCTCAGAGGTTTAGCGAGGAGGCCCACGTTAGCCAGTTACAGATGGGGGAACAGTTGCAGAGCTTGCGAAACTTAATGCGAGAACTCCAATCACAACAGCAACGAGCAGCGTCTGAACTCCGAGAGCAGATGATGCAGCAAATGCATCAAATGTTTTCGGAGTACAGGAAAGAGTTTGCAGCAGAAACGGAACAACAAAGACGATACGTTAATGACTCTGTTGTAGGCATTCAGCGTGCCATCAACAAGCGGGTCAGTGTTACCTCCGCGAGCAGTCCACTACCGAAGGACCGTCGAATCACGGAGAAAGCAGACACCCCCCAATAAAGGCAGTAGTCACCATGGCGCGAACTAATTCCACGCAAAACTCCGACCACCTAGAAATCTGGCAGTGGAATTGTCGCACGTTCCACAAACGAGCGGCGGCATTGCAGAATTACATCCATTCGGCACTAATCCCACCTGATGTAATATGCCTGCAAGAAGTTGGGAACCGTCCCGTCAAATTGCAGGGATATTACACATTATACGATCCAAAATACCCCCGCGTTGCAGCGCTGGTGAGTAACTTCATGACAGTTGCGCTAGACCATTACGATCAGACTGACATTAATCACCAAATTATCGATGTCTTCCCACAAAAACGAGGAAAAGTACGAACGAAAATTTTAAACATATACAGTCCTCCCAAAAACCGGAATGACGACTTCGGCCCACTCCTAAACGAGGCAGTTCGAGCCGTTGGCACCAGAGATCAATTAGTGGTGGTGGGCGACTTTAATGCTCCGAGCACCGCTTGGGGCTACGTCCGGGATTCACCCAAGGGAGTGTTATTAGAGAACACCACGTCTAAATTAGGTTTTACCCTTATCACTCTGCCAACAGCACCCACCAGGCTTGGTAATAGCATTAGCAGGGACACGTACCCTGATTTGACCTTCACCTTCAACATTAAAAATGCCACGTGGTCAAACCTCGATGAAAACCTTGGTAGTGACCATTATATTCTTAGCACCTCTATAGCATCACCAAAAGTTCGTCGTGTCGCTGGTGACGTTGTGATGACAGACTGGGTGACCTTTCGAAAGCGCCCTCTGCCGGAGCAAACGCCCTGTGATGTCAGTGGGTGGGTTGCTTTCATTCGAGAAACGCATGATGCCACCTCTAAGAAAATAGCGCGCACAGTTGAGGCGCCTGCGATAGACCGGCACCTAT